ACAAGAGCATTACAGAAAGTACAAGCCGGTAATCAGACAGTCTCGTTTAGGGTGAGAGATGTTAGGCGTCACAGCTCGCGGAATATGATCCAATCAGATCGCGTCAGGGGTCAGAGTGAATTTACCTGCTCAAGGTGACGGGTGAGAGGGACGAGAAGCTCGACTACGATGAAGCAATCATCCTGTACTTTCCGTGTAGTGGGCACGATACAATGCGTCACCCTTCATGCTTATTGAGTGGCGTCCGGCTTGGTTGTCGCACGCAAATAGCATTGCTTCACTGACCCACCGATTCGACGTTCGTCACAGAGCTCGACAAAATGCACGACTGAGGTCTGCCTGATTTCAACACGGAAAAAGCGTGGGAAAACAGGTGGTCAATCCGGGGGTAGACAAAATGTAATCAATTGACCAATGAGGTGCGCTGAACGGAAACGGAGCTAATCACAGCGTTTCTTTCTCAAGTCTAAGCGATGATTTCTCAATTCCAAATGACGGTTTCGTACCGAGTAAGTAAGTAAGGCAGTAAGTAGGGTTCCTTAGCAGAGGATTTTAGAGGCGCTTGGTCGTAAGGGAGCCTTTCGAGAGGTGCACGAGAATGGTTACCATCCACAACCCTAGACACTCTCCTGCCATCATACTGAGGCTTTCGAAGGCAAGCCTTCTAGTTATCTCTTGTCATCAGAGCAGAAAGCTCTAAATGGTGCATGCACAGTTGGACTGCGTAGTCTGTGTTGACCATATAGATTTCCTTTCTGTACCAACCGCTCGAAATAAGCCCAGTTCCTCTCCTACTTACCTTGTATCTATTATGAGTTTGTTAGCGACCACTGAAGTTGGCTTCATTGTATTACGCTTACGTTGATAATGGTGATTTTACAAGATTCCACTCTGACCATTTTCTATCGAAAACAGTTCAGCTTTCCAAATTTAACATTATTTTTCGTGCCTCTAATAATTTGTACGATGATCCTGTGTGTAGAAACAGGATTGTTCTGTCACATGGAACTGTGTTCTTTGGTCTGCGTAGTAAAATGCTAAAAATGGTGCACGTAAAACGTTTCAACTTCGCTACGTGACATCACAAGTGAATGCAACCGAATTTTGCTTTCATAGATCTCTGCACATTGATTTTAAAAGAACTCGATAATAGTGGGTGTATGTAGAATGTCCCGCTGGGATTGCTATAACGAATGTAAACATTTTCAGGAATCAATAACTGGGTTAGGTGTGTTTACTCACTAATCATACAACGGAGGTACCCTACTGCATTATCGGGTTAACATTTTCACCTCATGTTGGACTGCTTAATATCATTGTCGCCCATTTGATGGACGAAAATGAGCTAATGAAATCTCACTGTGCAAGCGTTGCCCCTAAACTCACTATCGTGATTCAGTTTCGTTCTCTTTTCCCATCATTTACCATGCCTATTTGTTTGTCTGTGGTATGCAAACACTTTTTCCTTCTACTCGATGTTCGTAGTTTTAATAGGCGTATATAGAAAAAGTATGCTCGTTGATTGATTGAGATTTGTGAAGCATATCAAGGGTGTCGTTAACACTCATTCCCTCAATCAATCGATCACTTGATCAGGGAAAATGGTATATTCAGAGCTGTAAATAGAAAATACTCAATTCACAACTGATGACGAAACTGAGGATGAAAGGAAATAAACTCTTAATTCTCCATGCAACTTCGAAAAAATCACTTTTCATATAGTTGTACACATTCTTATCTGTGATATCTCCCTGCCGCTGTCTGAGTAATTAGGATAATTCTGTGGGTCAGAGGGTTCCTTTTTAACCTGGTTTGTAGATCCAATATTGGTTTTGTCATACTGTCTCATATAGAAATTGTAGATGAACTGACTTGAAGACTGACCAGATGAAGGTTACCATCGATGCTTCGGAGAACGAAATCACCACTATTCATTAATCAATAGGATCAAGTAGCGTTTGGTCCCTTGGTCCCTAATTGGTGTTTTTTTATTCTAACCAAATGTGAGCACTCCTTAGGCTATTACAAATCTATGGACAGTGCATGCAGTTGAATGCCTTTTGCTCCACAGAATCGTCGCTCTAATTGTATCGTCACAACAGACTTGTTAATGAGGAAATGGTCGCCTGTCCGTGTCCATAAAGCTAATTAAGAATCAATACGCTGTCTCAATTGGTCCTGGAGATTAGGACGTAATAGGTTTTTGTTGCATCGATAGAATAGACCCATTGTCGGAAATCTGGTTGCAGTGAAGCTGCACTAAGAAGTGTGCATGATTTACGGTGGTGTATCCGAGGATTTCCAGAGTCTAAAATGTCCGATGATTCCCACATAAAATGTACTCGTACTATGAACAATATTTTGAGTGGACGTAGTTCATGAGAAAGGAAACCGCTTGTTTCCACTTATAACTAGTTAGAAATCGATCCAACCCTTGATAAGATAACTATTGTTGTTCGATGGTACCTCAAACCGTTCATTCCATGGTTAGCATTTAGAAGCTTCACCTATTCACTATTGACGCATGATAAGCCGATTTAGCTTGATAGTAATCTTTAATTTGTAGCTGTAAATGTCGTTATTGTCTAAGGAATATATTTTTCAACTTTCCATTTTCATGCAGCTTTCATTGTAAAAGTTGGATGGACTGGCCAGATTGATGCCCATCCTTAGATCTCATCAGGTTAAATAACTGAATCGTGATTAGTTGAAATGCCACCCTCCCTATTAGCTGATCTAATTGATGAGACTAGGCATATAGTTAATCTCCATTGTCAGAGGTACTCTGGCGCTTCGGTGTTAGTAAGGAGGTGGTAATTTTCCTCATTAAGTTCCCCACTATATTTCGGCTACTTACAACATTTGGTCACTGTCTGCAGTCAAAGATTTTCCCAATCGTTCGTATTCTTTGTACCGATTTCTATTAAAAAAAAAAAACAATTTTTGTACCTTGATTGTCCAGCGCGGCGATTTCGGAAGACATAACATCGGGATAGTCAAATTGCCCAGCGTGCTATCCCCAATCGTACTCCCGGATGCGTGATTTTAGAATTCGTTTCATTATGATGATAGCAAATTCCACTGTCACCTACCGCCGTATCACGTCTCATCTATCCAAACTTTCCTTTTTTATTTTTCTTTAGTTTTGCCATACTAAGGTGCCCAGTTAGTCCCATTGCGCGATAGTATATTGCCACTGCGTGCCGTGTTATTTGATGTGAATGTTCTGTATTTGACTGTCTGCATAACCATAATGGTTTGATTCAGTGACGCGGCTACTGAAACAATGCTTTCTAGGGTGAGTAGGTGCCGATCCATTAGACAGTTTTCGCGTTCCAGTTTATCTGATCCGCCAACTCGCGAAGATGCTTGTTATCTTGTTGTATACATAATTTCGTTTCGATTTGTTACTTAAGTTTATGGACAAATAGGAAGAATTTATTTAAAAATCTTCATGCGTTTATACGAAATTACTGGATTGAGAATATCATCTCGATTGGTGATAAACGTTTGCAATACAATTTCCATGCTAGGTGAACAACGGAGCATCAATTTATACTACCCGAGCTACAAAAATAACCATCAACCCCATTGTTTACAAAACTGTCATACGAAAATATGTCAGATCCAAAGGATCGAAGTGTATTGGCTTCTTGCAAACCATTATGAAGCAAAGAGTAAAACAGCACATGGATCTCCTTTTAATATCGTTTGCATACATACTGACACAGATCATAGAAGCTAGCGACGGAATAGCACGATCTACTTCCAATGTTTCTTGAATTTTTACGGATGAAAGCGTTTGTCTCTCGCTTCTAGCATTCTCCAACGGCGACATGTTTTGCTCATATCGTTATTATTTCTCATAGTTTCTGTTCCTTACCATATGATGATTTCGCGCTGGTCAGATTTGTACGTGCTCATTTATTTCGTGTGAACAGCGCCAAACACTGGGTTGGCAAAACACGATCAAATCGACCGCATCGTCGACCCAGTCTGCGGTGGCCAAACGTGACAAACTGACCAATATGGATCAATACTCTCTCGCGGCACGGATTTTTCATCGCTACGATGTCCTGGAAACCTCGTATCATTTTTGTGTGTATCGTACCGAAATACACTTTTGTGATGAAACCCGGGATGGTAAGTTTATTTTGCAGTTCACAGACCAATACCGTGTGATCTATTCCTCCACCTCTCTTTTTTACTCTTTATCGCAGTTATTTTTTCCACTGAGCCCGATGGCTCGTTCATTCTGTCATTGAACTGTGAAATTATAATTGACAGGAGGCAGTATGCTTTTCTCATGTGTGGGGGAAATCATTGCTAACGAATTGTTCTTTTTACAGTGTATTAGCTTATAAACTATAGGGGAATTATTTGGTTGACAACAAAATGATCTGCGTTGTGGTCTACCACCGGTAATTAGTTTGTGATCAAGGGAACTTCCTATTCCGCGTAACGCAAATACATTCTGTGTTTCGTGGTCCCCAAGCCGGTCACGTGTTACTACAGGGGCCTGAAACATTCGATCTGTTTCCTGATTAGCCGGAGTTACACGCGTTAGAGTGCGGTCACCGTAAAATTGGACTTCGTTTGATTCCACCGATGACTTCGTGTAAATAAGAAGAATAAGCATCATTTAGGTGCTTATTATTATCAATTTGTTATACTTAGTCAAATGACGAACCGTGTAATCAGTTATTTTTTTTCGGAAAATACGCAACGTCTGAGAGGTCTCATTTTGATTTTAGATTTTTTCTTTAGCTGGTCTAACTCTAAGGTTTTTTTGCTTGTAATCTGATCTCCTGCGAAACACAGCTCTAGTGAATTTTCTGTTTGCAATTTGTGCCAGTTATTTACATGGGCCTTTTACATCCTTACTTCTCACTTGTTTTGTGTCAGTTCTCAAATGATCGAATGTATTACTTCATTTATTCCTGATCTTTTGTGATTCAGTTTAATTTAACAGAGTCGCTTAAATAGAATTCCTCGTTATACGCAACTGAATTCAAACAATAAAATATGGTTGATAACACCAGGCTAATTATGCCATGTATGACGCCTGCCTCTCATTCTAGTGCACACGTACTGAAGGAGTTCACAAACTTGATTAGTCATGTGGAACAACACCATCTCCTAGTTAGCGTACGCACGAATGTGGTGAAACAGTTTCGTAACGGATATCACCTGTTTGTCATGCAGTATTTATCTGGCCTTCGCCTACTTGATTCCCCCCAATTTTTACAAGCGTGTATGTGTAGGCAATTCTAAACCCTGTGACTGCCTTGTTTCACACCGACCAAGTGAAACGGTTTCTTTTATCCATATACGTTCAGATGGATCGATAATAAGAGATCAGTTTTGTCCGTTTCAGTTGAGCTGGCCCGTAAAGAAATCAGATGCTGAAGCGAGAGATTGCGGTCTATAGAATGTGGTTTGTGTGAGTGAAAAATGCAACCGAACAGGAGGTCTTCAGTAGCTTCCTGGATAACATTCTGCCATATACTCGTAAATGGCACACTACGAAATAGGCAGAAAGTTGCTGACCAGTAGACTCAACTTTCCGATTCCTTTATGTCGTGTAGTACAGTTATTGTTCTTACGATGGAAAGTGTTTTACGGCTATTATTTTCAAAATCAACTGCCTGAATTAACGAACAATCGTTGCTCGACAACGTTGTTTGTCGATGTATCTGTCAAATCTTATCAAAGCTGCATATTTTCGCATCACCTTTGTCTTGTTATTGTTCTTGTGCGAAATAACAGGTGGTCATCTGAGTCAAATGGTCGTACCTAATGGCTATATCAAAGTTCATCTGTACGGCCTAGAACTGGATTGGTATCCGTACCACGTGGAATGTAAGTTGTGATCGTTTGGTACGCGATGCGCCTGACCCCGGCCTTGAGTGTGTGTGTGTGTGCGTGTGTTTGTGCATCGATTCACCGTAGATCAGTTTGATCTTCCGTGCTGTTACTCTCATGGTACCTTGCGCGGTTCGATCCGGATGCGATTTACACGCCTGTTGGAATGTGTATACCTCGAAATGCGTTTGTCATCTGTGGACCGGTTGATTCAGTCCGGACAAATGTGGCGCGTAGCACCGGATTCCTGTGTGTATTATCTGATTTGTTTTGCCTTTTGGGTATTTGTAAGGTATTCAGTAGATATTGAACTGTTACTGGGTTTGCAAGAACATAAATGATAGAAGTAAATCTGCATTCTATTATGACACCACTGTTCATGTGCATTAGGAAGTCGATTCTGTCTAGAAACATTCCGCTTGTCCAGTGAACGTAGCGAATCACGTGCTCTTGGCACACAATAGACTGTTGATCAACCGTCTGCATAAACTAATCGAATATCTCGTATTTGGTCTCCTACTCATGCAGATTCAGTAGATATGCACCGGCGATGGTCCCTAGACGCATTTGTAAAATATTTTGTTTGAGAAAATGGATTCTTCAAGAAGAGGGGTAGTGGTAGTAGTCAAATGGTGTAAGGATCTATTTTTGATGTACATTATTCCGTACGATCTAAGTTTCGAACCCTGTCACCATCACTCAACTTTGGTAATAGACAAATTCACTTTCGTCCGGCTCAATACCACGCTTAACTTACTGGGACTATATTTGATTCGCTGCTCCCAGTCTTTTTGTCTTTTTCCACAGGTAAACTGCAGTTCCTTGTGACAACTGTTTATCACACAAGGAAGTGAAATGCTATTTCATTTGTGATTGGGGTATGAACTCAGAGACGATTGGTAGTTCTGAGTTCTGCCCATAGCTGCCGTCTGGGCTACTACTCTACGGTTTACTTCACATAAACGGTGCCTGACATGCTAACGTGCGCCTTCAGCAACACTTG